ATTGGCGCTCTCGGCCTGGACCCTGGCTCGGAGGGGGCTCCTGGCATTCAGATACACCACCCTCTGCTTTACATCCCCAACTTCAGCCACCTGGCACTCCAGGCTCTCCTGGGCCACAAAGTGCCCTCTCAGCCACGTGCGCCCCTGGTCATGGCTGATGAAGCAGAAGGCAGAGGGGGAAGGCCCCCGCTGGAAGGGGAGGTTCCGGTAAGCGTAGGCCGGCACCAGTAGGCTTCGGGGCTGGTTGTCCAGCTGCAGACAGTGTCCTGGGCCCACCGCAAAAGTGGCCCAGTCCTTGTGGGCTGGGCCGATGGCCGAGTCCGTGAGGTCTCTGGCAGGACTCCAGGACCTCCCGTGGTCGGTGCTGGTGACTTGGCACAGCCGCGTCACGTTGACCCTGGAATGGAGCTGGTGGTGCTCAGAGATCTGCCCCGGGATGGCAATGAAGAAGAGGAAGAGGGTCCCTGTCTTCTCATCGTACAGGGGGCTTGGGTTCATGGACCTGTGGTCCTTCAGCTGGGCTTGGGCCACCGTCTCCTGAGCATGCCACTGAAGGTGAAGAGAGAAGGAGGAGCTCAGCCTTGAACTGGCCAGTGACAGTGACAGGGGCTGCGCTCAGGAGGAGGGGGGGTCTCATGGGGTTAGGGTCAAAGGTCACAGAGGAGAACTCGTGGCCCAGCACTCATTCACCCTCACAACACCTCCAGAGTAGGGCCAGGTCTCCGCCTCACTCCCTCCAAGGCAGCCCACTCTTCATTTGAATGGCTACTGCTCCCACTCCAACATGCATCACAGGGCACCCACCACATGCTAGACCCCAAGCACAAAGATGATTCAGGCATGAGCCCTTCCCAGCTTCATGTTGGCTCCTTCCACTTACCAACCCAGTCTAGCTCCATTCTTGCAACATAAAGCCCTAGTAATAACCCCAATAGTCCGCCAGCATGGGACAGAATATGACAATCACCTCCCATCTTCTATACCTCATACTCTATTAATGCAGCCTAGGAGGGGGCAACACCACAACACTAACAACTCACAGTGAGCTCCCACAGTCCCCGAGTCTACGTCATACACGCTGTGGCTCTGCTGTCTGTCCCCATTTATTCACAGCTACCCCCCATGAGCAATTCTAAGGGCAGATACTTTGCTGAGAGCCTAACATCTATGGTCTCCTCTAACTCCTGACTTCTGGGGGACAGGTATTATTGGCTCCATCTTACATCTGTAGAATGAGAGGCTTAGATAAGGTAGACGAGCTACCCAAAGCCATGTCTCTGGTAAGTGGTGGAACCAGGACTTGAACCCAGGTCCATGTGCTTCAAACTCATGCTCTGAACAATTATTAGGAAATAATACCACAAAGAAGAGATAATAATAATATTAAATCCTTCATATGCGATAAGCCAGTCTTGGGTGTCTTCATCAAAATCACATGATCTACATGCTGAAACTTCCAGACACAAGCAATCACCCCAACCACACACCCCACATTAGTTTAATTCAAAGGATAACCACCCCTGCAAGTTACATGATGCTGAACTAGTCCTCCTTCAGGTTCTCAAGACATAGGGAAACTTTTCCAAAACCAGTTTCCCTGAATGACTTGTAATAAAGCAGATGCAGCCAGGCCAACCAGACTTGTTCACGATGAACCCGTGTGAGATCTGGGTGATCACTTGGGGACACCTTCTCGGCCCCATCCCTAATGGTTCCCTGGGTCCTTCTGTCCTCCAGACCTCAGCCATCTAAGGACGGGCAGGTCCCCATGTTCCTGGCAGAGCAGAGTGGCCACATCCTGCCTTACCTGGACCTGGTGGGTTGATGCGTTGTAGCTTCCCCTGCGCAGGACAATTAGCTTCGCGTGCTCATCCTTCTTGCTCGTTCGTTCTTCCGCAAAAGCCAGCAGGGTCTTCTGCTGAGGCAGGTAGAGCAGAGCGGGGATTCTGTAGGCATGTGCTCCTGCCTGGAACACTGTCTCCTTCTGCAGGTTGGGGCAGGACGCCATGGGGCCTAGGGGAGGGCAGCAGAAGGGAAAATGAGTGCCCTGCAATCATGTCCCGAGATGGGGTCAGAGCTGTCTTCCCAGGCTGGTGGTGCTCCCCTATGGGCGAGGTGGCCTCTTCTCCCACACGGGCTTTATTCCTCTTTATTACATTCCAAGCCCCTGTTCATCGACTCTTACGTGCCTTCCACGGAGCTTGACAGCCCCTCTGTCCATGAGACATTAGGAGTGGGTATTTGGAAAAGCATATTTTGTGTTGTATTTTGTTTGTTTGTTTGTTTTGTTTTTGGAGGGGGAAGTAATTAGGTTTACTTATTTATTTTTAGAGGAAGTGTTGGGGATTGAACTCAGGAGCTTTTGCATGCTAAGTATGCTCTCTACCTCTTGAGCTATACCCTCTCCATCTTGTGTTGTATTTTTATTATAAGTTGACAAACCTCCTTATGACAGATTTGTGATAATCTCCACTACTTTTGCCAAACCCAATTCATCAATCAAACACTGAACCCCAGGTAGGATAGGAGGGCTGGCAGAGTGGCGTTTTGCAGCTGCCGAATTACCAGAAAATGACACGTGGGAGCTTTTTATAACTCCAGAGCCCTGGAAAGTTGTCTTAGGGAAAAATGAAAAAGGGGGAAAGCCTCAGTTCTTAAGGATCTCCTCAGACTGCCTGAGGCTAAGGCCCCGCTGCCCCCACCCTGGGGGGGGGCATTGTGAATGGCAGAGTAGATGCTCCTGACAGCTCTCCCAGGCTTCGAGGATCCTCCAGAGCTACAAGCAAATGAAAATTTTACATAAGTATTTGGCCAAAAAGGATGGCAAGGCCAGAGATAACCTGGTGACCATGCATGACAGTGAGTTCCATGCCAGGCCACCTGGGTCCCCTTCAAGGGCCTGAAAAGAACCTCCTCCTGGTCATTCCCCAGAAAGGCTGTATCTGGTGCCTGGCTGCCCAGAATATAAAGACCTGGCCCCCTTGCCCTAACTCGGATGTTCTGAAGGGTCCCAGGTCCAGGGCTCCCCATGGGCTCAGCCAAAGCTTCCCTGAGACGGTGCACAGCCCAGCTTCTCCCTCTCTCCCTCCCGCTCCCCTCCTTTTCTTTCCAGGCTGCTGACCCCAGGAGGCTCCCCCATAAAATACCCATCAGAGCCCACTTTCTGGGGAGTCCCACCTGCAATGTGATCTTTGGGGAGAGGAAGTAGAAATCAGGGTGAGCCACAGAATCATACAGTCTTTCCTCTGTACACCCTTTCCAACTTCTCGCATTTTCCCCTACCATGTCTGTATAGTATCTATGTAAAACTTAACATTTTTGAGAAAGAAATGTCATCTATTAGCATTTTATTCAATTCCTTATGAAAATTATTGTTAGGACAAGGTAAAAATACATGATGGTGGAGGCACTAACTCTTCGTGATAAAATCTAGAACTGCAAAGGGCAGTCCAAGAAAGCAGGGCTGGGAAGACATAACAGTGGCTAAGCTGAAACTTTGTTATGAACTGTGGATGGGAAAGGATCAAATAGGATTAAAAATAAAAATGAAAATGGGAGAGAAAGATGCAGTTCAGCAGTGTCCTCTAGAAAACTGATCAAGGGTTTGTGTAAGCTCTTGGGTATTCACCCAGAAGTAGAATTGCTGAGTCACATGGTAATTCTCTGTTTAACTTTTTGAGTTGCTGCCAGATTGTTTCCACATCAGCTGTACCATTTTACATTCCAACTAGCAGCGTTTTAAGGTTCCAATCCCTTCGCATTCTCACTGACACTGGTTACTGTGTCTTTTTTGATAATAGCCCGTGGGTGTGAAGTGGTATCTGACCGTGGTTTTGATTTGCACTTGATATAATGATGAATAAGGATGTTGAGCATCTTTGCATGTACTTCTTGGCCGTTGGAGTTGGACCTTAGACTGGGAGGCAATGGGAAGATTTCTAACTTGTTTAGGTAAGGAAGTGATCTCACCTTATTTACTTTTCAGGAAGTCCTTCTTTTGGTTTTAGGGGACAAGGGTCAGAAGGTGTGTGTTGCAGTTTTCCAGGTGACATAGAATAAAAGCCTGGATGAAGCAGAGACAGTGACCACTGAAAGAGGAACCCGGCTCTCAAAGATGGAAAGCAGTAGAATTAATATGGCTTGGAGGGCAAACTAGGGAGAAGTTAAGATAATTCGGTTTAAAATAGTCTGACTTATAAAGAAGCTGTGGTACATTTATAGAATGGAATACTACTCAGCCACAAAAAATAATAAAATAATGCCATTTGTAGCAACATGAATGGACCTAGAGATTATCATATTAAGTGAAGTAAGCCAGAAAGAGAGAGAAAAATACTATATGATATTACTTATATGTGGAATCTAAACAACAACAACAACGAAGACAAACGAACTTATTTACAAAACAGAAACAGACTCAGACATGGAAGACAAATTTATGGTTACCAGAGTGGGGAGGGGGTGGGAAGGGATAAATTGGGAGTTCGAGATTTGCAGATTCTAATATACACAAAATAGATAAACAACAAGTTTATACTGTATATAGCCCAGGGAATTATATTCAATATTTTGTAGTAATTTATGGTGGAAAAGAATATGAAAACAAATACATGCATGTTCCTATATGACTGAAGTGTTGTGTTATACATCAGAAATTAACACAACATTGTAAACTGACTATACTTCAATAAAAATATTTTTAAAAATAAATAAATAAAATGGCTTGTCACTAAATAAGGGGGAAAAAAATAGGCTGAATTGATTTCCATAGCATCTATGACTGTTTTCTGTTTGTTTGTTTTGTTTTTGCAGGGGAAGTGATCAGGTTTAATTTATTTTTTAATGGGGGTACTGGGGATTGAACCCCAGATCTCATGCATGCTAAGCAAGCACTCTACCAATTGAGCTATACCCTCCCCTTATGACTGTTTTCTGGATTCCTCTTTTAGACTCTGATCTCCTTTAGGGCAGGAACAGATTTATTCATTCATGGTACAGATATTGTGTTCCTACCTTATCCCCTGCATTGTTCTAGGAACTTGGGATGCTTTGTGAATAAACCAGAGATCCCTGGTCTTGCAGACTTGATGTTCTAGTAGGGATGGGTTGGTTATTGTTATCGCCAAAACCAAATAGTGGTCGCTAGTGCTGAGACCTGTCCAAGCACTTGGAAGAGATGGCCTTATTTGATGGCACAAATGTTCCACAAATGCCCTGCCCTCTGTAAAACCTGTGCATCTGAGAGTGACACCCTTATGGAAGGGATGTTGGCGTGGAGCAGGAAGGCTGTGGACACACTAACCCCAGCCCCTCCAGGCTGCTATTTATCATGTATGTATTTAGAACCAAATTCTGCACAAGATGTAGGGTGGGGAGGGAAAAGGGGACCTCGGTGTCCATTCAAAGACTCTTCTGTATCCTCAGTAATTCAGCACTGACCCAAACTCGCACACCCACCAGCACCACCAATCCCCAATGTCTTCACAGTAATAATAGTCCTTACAACATGCCAGACACTCTTTAACTACTCTATAATATTTTTTAAATGTTTTGTAAATTGTCTTTATAAATCATACTATTTACAATTTACAAATATTTATTCATTTAATCCCCACGACACCCCAATGACATTAACACTATTATTATCCCGTTGTATAGTTGAGGACACTGAGCTCGCCCAACCTTAAAGTGTCGCATTTGGAGCTAAAAACACTTCAAACCCCGTGTAGTACTGCCTCTGAAAGGAGTTCTGGAAAATGCCATCTTCCCACATCTTGTTACATTTCCAGTGATGATTTGGCACCTTGTGTAGTAGCTGACCCACTGGACCCACGTCTGACTCCAAACTGGCAGCAGCCTCAGACTGGCTTAGTCAGAAGAGAACTGAATTAAGAGTCAAAAAATTCAAATTCTGGTTGTAGGTACACTCTTAACAGGTGTGTATCTTTGGGTAAGAACCCACCTCCGTGGGTTGTGTCTCCACATCTGGCAAGAAGGGAGCTGTAGGAGGTGCCAGGTGGGCCCCTCCATCTCCAGGGCTGGGGCTGAGGCTGAGGGGGAGGGGAGGGCCCTCAGCACAAGCTGGTCTCACACTCCAGCATCAGCAATTAGAGAGAAGACATGCTGGGTTGAACTTCAAGGAACTACCATTTCATAGGTCAGAAGTCATTGGATAGCAGTGATTTCCAATGGTTCCGCCTGAGGATACCAGCAGCTGCTGTGGTTTGTGGCCTAGTGGGCTCTGAGCCCAAGCACAGCATCTTATACAAGGAAGCTCCCCTCTCTCCACAGGCCCAAGAGGCTGGCTTTAGCGCCCCCATCTCGGACGAGGGGAAGCTGGGAAGTGAGTCAGGGAGACAATAGATAACTTCCTTGCGTTGGTGGTAGGGGAGGGTGGAGCTGAGTCTGGATCGGCCAGATTCCAGAACCCACGCCCCTAACCACCGGATTCCAGAACCCACGCCCCTAACCACCAGATTCCAGAACCCACGCCCCTAACCGCCAGGACTGCCTGCCACGAGACCCACAGCTGGACTCTGAGGCTTCCTTAGAAAAGGTAGGCCGTGCAAGGTCCTTGCCTGCCTCTCTCTCTCCCGTTGGGAGCACAACTTCACTGGAACCTTTCAGATCCAGGGGCCCTATTGTCAGCATTCACTTGCCCACTTCAGAAAGATGCTGTGGCAGTTTACAAATCTGTACTGAGCCCCTTACATGCGCCAGAAAACAGGTAAACAGATAAGCCCTGGTTGCTGCCCTCTGGGAGCCCAGAACAATGAGAGCTAGTAAATCTGGGGAGCAAGAGAGAGAAACGCTGCAGCCTTCCAGGAGGAAGAGCCTTGTTCTAGTTTCAGTCAGGGTAGAACTTTGCCTGTTGGCTACCACACTGAAATAATGCTTCTCTCCGAAGAGCAGGCAGCCGCCTCCATCTGGTTGACCAACAGCACTAGCAGAGCAAGGCTGTGGGGCAGCAGTCCTGAAGCCTGGGCAGTTTCTTTCCCCAAGAAAACCCCATTTCCAGAGGGTTCAACAACTCTGCCCAAGCCCACCCCAGGCTGAGAGGAGCTCTCGTGACACCCGCGCCAGCACAAGACCACTGAGCATACTCCTGGAGGTCCAGACCAGCAATAACTGGGGGGAAGAATTAGTTTTCCTGAGTTGAGCCTTCTCCACACATGCCCCGTCTGACATGTCCTCCGACACCCCAAGAACAGAGTGGGAGCCACATCAGGGGGCTGGCGGGCTTTAAAATGGCCATCAACTAATTTGCAGCAAAATGGATGGACCTAGAGATGATCACACTAAGTGAAGTAAGTCAGACAGAGAAAGACAAATATATGATATCACTTACATGTGGAACCTAAAACAATGACACAAATGAACTTATTTACAAAACAGAAAGTCTCACAGACATAGAAAACACACTTACGGTTGCCAAAAGGGAAAGGAGGGGGAAGGATTAATCAGGAGTTTGAGATGAGCAGATGCAAACTACTATATATAAAATAGATAAACAAGGTCCTATGAGATAGCACAGGGAACTATATTCAAAATCTTGGAATAATCTATAATAAAAAGAATACATATATATATACACGTATATATATATGTAACTGAATCACTAAGCTGTACACCAGAAGCTAACATAACATTGTAAATCAAATATATTTTAGTAAAAAAAATTGCCATCACCTGAGACACCCCCAAATGTTGTATCATCACTCTGTAATTACCTGGTTCAGAAGAACTCGTTTATGTCAACAAGAAAACAGGTGGGTCGCCTCTGAGAGAGAAGCTGTACCTACAGGAGTGTTCCAGGTTGGGTCCCAGGGCCTGGGTGGGAAGCCGGGGGGGGTGAGCAGAGGCTGGGGGACCCAGCTTCTAGAACAGTGCAGCACGTGCACTCCCAGGCCTCACCTGGAGTCTCAAGGCCTCCTCTGAGGGCCTGTGCCTATAAACCCTTGGGGAGGTCTTGACTTCGGTCACCCATTCATCAGCCTACATGCTCCAGAGCAACGTGGGTGTACAGACCCAGCCTTGGCCCAGTTAGGACGGTGCCTCTTATTAGCTAGGGGGAAGTCTGTCTAGTTCTCTACACCGTCATGCTGAATCAGAATGAGCCACAGGCAGCCTGAGTCAAGCTTGCCTCTTAGATGGATGCATCGAGCAAAATGTGTTTACAGAGAGGAACAGACTTCCCAGGACCTGGGAGAGTAGGGAAGTGCAGAGCTGGGAATAAGGAGGGGCTGGACCACACAGGACTCAGCTCCTCTACTGGCTCTCCCAGGGCCAGCTGGGTGAGCAGGACAGCTCCCTGACCTCTTGGGACCTCAGTCTCCTCCTCTGAAAAATCAAAGCAAAAACAGCACAACAGACTCCTAGCTGCATTACAGACCATACACTCGTCTGCTGCTACCACCCAGTATCAAGAGCGTGTCTGGTACATCACTGATACTCCATCAATACCCGGCAACGAGTAAACAGGTGGTGCTGCCTTTCCAGGCAGAGCCAACAATGTGAGGCTTGCACGCAAAAACCCATCCAAATCTCTTAGCCCAGCATCCAGCATACGGCAGGGACCCACTAGAGGCTGGTACCTGGTAATGAGCCCTTTCCTTCTGCACCTGCCACAACCAAGTCTACGGCTCCATGGGCCATGAACTCGTTCCAAGGAGGACGAGTAGTTTGCTAGCACACAGCCAGAAGGTAGACCTCTCCTCACCCAAGTTCACCGCCCGTGTGCATGAGGCTGCAGGAGCTGGAAGAGTCACAAGGCAGTCCCACTCAGTGCAAAGTGCACTCCCTGTCTTAGTCTAGAAGCAGGGGGTGAGGGTGGTCTCCCTAATTTGTTCCCCTTCCCTCCTCTGGACACAGTCCTTTCTTGGTCTCTTTAGCTCTAGAAGATTCCCGGAGCTCAGAGTCGAGTGCAGACACACCTCGTTGCCTCTTTCCTGGGCGGTCAGCTCCCCAGGTCACAGTGTCCCCCGGATGGTGGTTCTGAGACCTCCTGCTCCTGTTCTGGACTAGCCCTCTCGCCAGGTCTCACCTGACCTCCCAGTTTATCTTTGAAAGCCCCACCCACAGACCAGCCCCCATGAGGACTCCCATAAACCCCCACCTCTAGCCCTGACTCACACTCCACTGGAGGTCCACGAACCACCTTGAGGTTGATGTTATAAAAATATTTGTTTAGGGCAGTGAAAATACTCTGTATGATATTATAACAAAGGATGTATGTCCAAACCCACAGAATATACATCACTAAGAGTGAATGCTAAGGTAAATTATGAACTTTGGGTAACTATGGTATGTCAGTGTAGGTTGATCCATGGTTAGAAATAAAAAAGATGTACCATTCTGGTGAACAGAGTTGCCAATGGGGAAGGTTATGCACATATGGGAATGGGGGCATATGGGAAAACTCAACATCTTCCTCTCAATATTGTAAACCTAAAACTGCTCTTTAAAAACTCATTTAAAAATTCATATTAAACAACAACAAAAATTATTTTAATGTAAGAAAAAAGTGGGTTAAATATAAGGGTAATAACTCTTATTATTTTATTTTATTTTATATTTTATTAATTTTTTTGTTTTCAATGTTACTTTTTGTTTGTTAGCATGCTTACTTTTTAAACAGTTTTTTATAGATTTTTATTTTATTTATTTTTTAAGGGGGGGAGGTAATTAGGTTTATTTATTTATTTACTTACTTATTTTTAAATAAAGATACTGGGGATGGAACCCAGGACCTCATGCAAGCTGAACATGCACTCTACCACTGAGCTATACCCTCCCCTGCCAAGGGCAATGACTCATTGAAGAAATTGCAACATACCCCTCAAATGGAATATTAGGCACCAATTAATTAAAATCATGTTTTAAAAACTCAGATAATGCATGGGAAAATGCTGGGATGGTATGAGGTATAAAAAGTAGGATACAAGATGGCATATAAGTTAGGACCTCACTTTTCTAAATGTGTGTACTGTATACTTAAAAATCTATATTAAAACATGCACAAAAATTATATCAAAATATATATTGCCACACCCCCCCAAAATTTAGCATGGTGCCTGGAATAAAGTAGTAAATTTAGAAATATCTGTTGAATATAGACTGAATTTTCAGTAATTTTCAATAATTAATGTTGACGAGTAAGACTACAAGCGATGTTTATCTACTTCCTTGTACTCTTCTAGACTCTTGTGAATTTTATTATTAGTTTAAAACGGCATTATTTAAAAAAATAATGGTAAGTAACATAATGAAAGCCTTTAAATGTGGCTTAATAGTGCCTATTAACTCTCTCCTGGCCAGATCATCAAGTAGGGAAATACGGTTTCAAAAGGGCTTAAAGAACTTGTAAAAATGGGCTTGACTCAGCATGCAAATTCAGTTTATGTTTGATTCCGAAGGATCAATTGATGAAGTGTTTGAAAATATTTATTGAACACACTCTGTGTAGCCAAAACCACTCTGGGCAGGAGATGGAGAGAAAGATCCTGGAGAAGGTCCCAGACCTCCCAGTGCTTATTATATGGGAAAAAGTTGCACATGCAAGGAACAGAGGCCAGTGAAGGCAGGGAGCTGGGGGTGCTGGGCGGTTTGTGATGGAGAGCAAGGAGGGGTCGGGAGGACAGGGGTAGTCAGGAAGACTTCCTGGACCTGGGCCAGGTCAGAAGGAAAACTGAAGCATACAACAGAGGGATAGGACATCTCAGCAGGAGAGCACAGAGCCCAGCACGTAGTGGGTGCAAGGTTGGAGTCGGAGGAAGTGCAGAGATGAACATGCATGGGAATGGTCAGCGCCAGGCTTGCCAGGACCATCCGGACTTTCAATATAGACTGTTTTCTCTCTGATGGCTTTTGCGATTTTACTTTATCTTTAATGTTCTGCAGTCCCAATGTGGGATGTCCAGGTGTGAATTTATTTTTATTTACCTTGTCTAGGACTCAGCACACTTTTTCAAATGCAGAACTTGTGTCTTTCTTTGACTCTAAAAATTTCTGTCATTAATACTTGGAATGCTGCCTCTCCTCCACTCTCTCTTCTCTCCTTCAGAACAGCCCATTAAATGTAAATGGGGTTTTCTTGATTTGTTCTCCAAAAGTCTTTTGACTTATTTTTCACATTTTCCATCTCTTTGCCTCCTGGCACTTTATTCTGGGAGAGTTCTCAGATATATCTCGCAAATCACTAAAGTTGTGTCTAGCTAAGATTTTTTTAAATGCAGTATTTTTATTTCTATAATTTCTAGTTCTTCTTTGAATTTACTTTAAAAATTAATTACCTCAGCACTAAAAAGCCATCGAAAAGACATGGAGGGACCTTAAATGCATATTACAAGTGCTCAGCCAGTCTAAAAAGATGACATACTATATAGTTCCCACTACATGACATTCCACAAAAGGCAGATTAAGGAGACAATAAAAAGACCAGTGGTTGCCAGGGGTTGCGGGGATGGGGGCAGAGGATGAATAGGAGATGGACAGATGATTTTTAAGGCAGTGGAAATACTCCATATGATACTAAAATGACGGCTACATGTCATTATACATTTGTCTAAACCTACCAAAAATACAAGACCCAGGGTGAACTATAATGTAACCTATGCACTTGGGGTGATTATGATATATCAAAGTGGCTTCATCAGTTGTAACAAATGCACTACTGTAATAGAGGATGTTGATAATGGGGGAGGCTGTGAGTATATGGGGGCTGTGGGAAATCCCTGTATCTTCCCTTCAATCTTGCTGTGAACCTAAAATTGCTCTAAAAAAAATAAAGTTTTAATTTTAAAACATGATTTCCTATTCTCATCTTATAGATTTTACTCCTTTATCTCTTCAAGCACCTGACATACTTATTCTTTTGTCTTTTTTATTCTACTGTTTCTATTTCCTCAAGTGTCAACTCTCCCGTTTTTGTGGGATGCTTTTCTTCCTACTGAACTTCCTCAAATGTTTCATAATTTTTGTGTGTGAGCTCACCCTCAATGGGAATTATCTTTTGGGTATGGTGGTGGAGGTGTTCCCACTAGTGTCTGAGGCTGAGAACACCCCCTCATAGTTGTCTGTACCTAAGCCTGAAGGGTTCACAGTCTCTCAACTTCCTTTCTCAGTTTCTGTCTTTGAGTTTCTGTACTTTGTGAGGGGTGAAAATTTGGACCGCATGTGCAAACCCAGTGTCTTCTCTGTTTCTAGAGGACTTTATTTACACTCTTGGCCTGGACATTTTTAAGCTTCTGAGCCATAATTCCTCTCCAAAATTCCTGCTGTGTTCAGGTCCAAAGGCTTTTCTTGTTTCCCCATAGCTGTTAACACAAAACAGCATGTCTCCTGGCCACGTGTGTAATAGTCCCTAAAGGACTATTTCACCAGGGCAGATACAGAATGACCTAAGAATAACCTGTTCATTTATGGCACCTGGAGATTTACCGTCCTCACTCTTGAGGATGATATATACGATTTTATATTTTTTCAGCATTTCTGTGTGTTTGGGAAATTTCATATGATCTTGGGTAAACTATCTAACTTCTGTACATCTGGCTTCCTCATGAGAAGACTGTACTGATAGTAAAACAAGTGAATTCATGTAAAATGCTTAGTACAGAACCTGCTCCAGAAGTCGTCAATAAATGTTATGATAAGTATTCCTGTTTCTGCTCAGTTCTTTTTCTTGTCTGGACCTGGTCTATCACCTTTATATATTTATTTCAAATGTATTTTTCAAACCACCCCACAACAATTTTTTTTTAAACTTTAAACATTTAAGTCCCTCTCCTCTTTCACACTTCCAACCGCAAACTCAACACAGGAAGTTAGTAGATACTCCTAAAAGAAATTCTCTTACAATGAATTCAACTTATTACACTTGAATATTCAATTTCTCCCAAAGCACAGTTATAATAATCACTTTAAAATAATTGGCTTATTATTGTTAAATCCATGAATGAGCTATCAAAAATTATCACCCAGAAAACATCACAAAAGCTTCTGGTCAAGGGCATCCCAGGTCTTGAAAGGGATTTCTCTGTGTCTTAGTGCATTCGGGCTGCTAGATACCAGAGACTAGGGGCTTATAAACAACAGAAATTTATTTCTCACTGTTCTGGAGGCTGAGAAGTTCAAGATCAAGGCATTGGTATATTTGGTGTCTGGTGAGAACCCCCTTCCTGGTTCACAGGTGGCTGTCTTCTCTCTCTAACCTCACAGAGCAGAAGTGGCAGGGGAGCCCTCTGAGGTCTCTCTGATAAGGACACGTAAGTCCCTCATAGGCAGAGCCCTCGTGATGCAATCACCTCCCACAGGCCTCATCTTCTGCACCACCACACTGGGGATAGTTCTCAACATATGAATTTAGGGAGGATGTAAACATTCAGCCAGTTTGAGTGTAACAATCAGTTTCATCCCAGAATATCCCTATAGCAGAATAGTAGACAATCATTAAAAAGAGTGAAGGATTTAAGGTGTGCTGAACTGGAAAATTACCAAGACCAGAGACACAGAACGGTATGTACCTGCTGTGGTTCTGCCTACATAAAATAAAGGATATAGGGGTGTGTGTGAGACACAGAACGGTATGTACCTGCTGTGGTTCCGCCTACATAAAATAAAGGATATAGGGGTGTGTGTATGTGTGTGTGTGTGTCTCTGTGCCTGTGTGTGTGTATCTATGAGAGAGACAGAGGGAGGGAGGGAGGCAAATTACGTATAGAGAGAACACTTCTAGACAGATACTCGTGAACCTATTAACAGAGGTTATGTAAAATGTTTTTGAGCAGGAGAGTGACAAGCTCAGGACTGTCAGCAGATTCACCTGGCATATTGAGTGGGATAGGGTGGAAAGGCAGTGATAGGCAGAGACTGAAGCCAGGAGATCTGTTTAAAGGATGTAGCAATAGTACAGATGAGAGTTGGAGGCCTATTCTGAAGCTGCGAGAGGAAGGAGAGGAGGAAAAAATAAATTAGATTCATTTGTGCTGTGCCCCCAATGGTACCCCCAAAGGCATCTGCTGGGCACCTCAAGATGCTAATCCCACAGACCTGGTGACCCTTTTCTCAGAGTTTGCTCACCCAGCCCTGGGCCCTGGGAGGCAGGTCAGGAGATGGGGCCCTCAAGCAGGTGAGGCATGTTTCCCTTGTACCTCTGCCCACCTGGGAGTGTGGAACTGGTTCCTGCCCTGCCCCACCGCCCTCCCTCCACTGAGCACCACACAACAGCCTGCTTCACTGAAGACACCACTCTGAACTGGGCTCGGTGCAGATGTGGCAGGGAAGGAGTGTCTCCAAAAAGCCGTGGGCCCTGTCTCCCTCAGGACCTAAGGGGAGACAGGAAAACTACAAATGAGAAAGGGGGAAAGAGAGCCAAGAAAATCAGATATAGCCCATCATGCAAGCACACACTCACGCTTGCACATGCGTGCACATGCGTGCACCTGCTTCCATAACACTGTGCACTTAGGAAGTGCTTAAAATAGGTTTTCTAAATTCGTGAGACAATGAAAGGAGGGTGAGCAGGAAGATAAGGAATCTCAGAAGTGTGGCACATGAGGAGTGCTTGAAGGAAAGAGAACTGATCCTCCAGAGCACTAACATTCAGCGGACACTCCCAACCCCAACATACACAAAAACTCCACTTGCAGCCTTTGGTGGGGGTACTGTGGGGGGAAGAGGGAATAATTGCATTTACTCTGGTATCTTTTTGAGCATAATGTGGGATCTGGTTTATAGTACCCTGCTCAAATGTTTGCTGGAAGACTGACAGGATGGATGGATGGGTGGATGGAGGGTAGATGGGTGGATAGATGGGTGGATGGGTGGCTTGGTGGGTGGGTGGATGGATGGATAGACGGATAGGTGGGTGGATGAGTAGATGGATGGATAAGAGACCATGTCTATCTGGCTTCAGAGGCAAAACTGAAACCATAGTTTCACGGCAATCAGATGGCTGTGGTAGACAGCTTTCAAAGATGGCCCTCAGCACTCCTTACCTCCTGGGATTCATGCCTCTGTGTAACTCCCTATGTTGGGAGATATCTGCCTCCCAATGAGCAGCATATAGCAAAAGTGAAGGGATGTTACCTCTGTGAGTAGATTACAAAAGGGGTGACTTCCATCTTCCTAGGCTCCCTGCTGTGCACCCTGGGGACAGGCCACCGCAGTAGAAGGGCCTCAGGCCAATGGTCAGTAAGGTGTTGAGGCCTCAGTCCAAGAGCCAGAGGAGCTGAGCGCTGCCAACAAGCTTGTGACTGTGAAAGAAGGTCCTTCCCCACTGGAGCTCTGAGACACTGATCCCTGTCCTGCTGGCACCTCGAACGCAGCCTGTGAGGGACCCTGAGCAGGGACCCCATCTAAGTCATGTCCAGATTCCTGACCCACAGAAACTGAGAGAGAGCAAATGTGTGTTGCTTCAAGCCACTACATCTTGGGTTAATTTGTTGCCAGCAACAGATAGCTAATGCAATGGCTGATTTGAGCTTAATATAGAAATGGACATTCTGGCAATTAAACTTGGCAAATAATGGTAGTGGTTAAAGGCCCAGGTTTTGGTACCAACTGGATGTGGTTTGAATTCTGGATCCCCAGCTTACTAGCTGTGTGGCTTTGGACAAGATGATCCACTTCTCTGAGCCTCTGTTTCTGCATCTTCAAAATGGGCATAATTCTCTGCTCACAGAGATAGCATGAGGCTTACATAAAGCAATCAGGTAAAGTACTTAGCCCAGAACCTGTCACTCAGTAGAAGGCAGCTATTAGCAGCGATAATAATGACAATAATAGTAACAGAGCAAGTTCCCGTACAAAGCAGCCAGAGTCCCACAACCGGACATGATCGAGCTGAGGCGTGATGTCACGTGCAAGAAGCGAATGGAACCCTAGCCCTCTCCCAAGTCTCAGACCGAGTCTGTGCTGCTGCCCGGCCCAGACCAGGGGGTGGGGGGGCCAGGCGCCGAGGGACCCCCAGGGTGACCTTGCCCCGGGGTGCAGCGCTAGCTGCTCCCAGCCTTCACCAAGGGCAACGCCCTTCTTTCTGCCTGGCCTCTGGGTCAGGTGTGTGACCGCCACCCTAGCTGGGCCCATGGGGCCCAGGAAGGTAAACACCTAGCCAGGAAGTGATTGTCATGGGCACAGGGCCAGCTCTGGGCCAGGCGGGTCTGAAGGTCAGGAATGTTTCCCAGAGAGCCTTTTCCAGCAGAGGACAAAGCCTCTGGCTGTGAGCTCTCTGGGACAGAGTGGAGGGTGTCTAGACACACCGGCTGGCTCTGAGGCCCCGACAGGACAGAGGACGGGAGAGGAAGAGCCATTCAAGGGGCTCCAACCCCCAGAAGCTCATCACCGGCAGGTAAGCAAATGGTTCTGGTATTTTTTTCTAATGAAATGAGATGACACAAGAGATGAAATGGGGGTTGCGGCCAGGGCAGGACTGGGAAGACCCCAGGAAGGTGTGTGAAGGGAGAGAGGACCCCACCCATCAGAGAGAAAGCCCCAGATTTCATCTCAGAATGGAGTCTCATCGTGGCTTCACCACTCTCCCCGCCGGGATTCAGTCTCACCGTCTGTGAAATGGGGTAGTGATTCCCTCCAGGCACCTCTCCTGTGAATGGTGAAGGGAGCAAGTGAGATAAGAGCAGGATTGGCTCCCTAATTTGCAGGGCCCCAAGCAAAATGAATGGGTGGGGCCCCTTGTTCAAACACTATTAAGAATTTCAAGAATTAAGAACTTTAAAATTAAGAAGAACATAATAAACCAAGTGAGGAGCCCTTCGAAGGGCAGGGTCCTGTATGCCTGGGCAGCTCCAGCCCTAAAAATAAATGTGCACGTAAACTGTGACATGCTAAACAAATCATGATTACTCTGTGCCCCTGGCTCAAATCTCAGGGGCAGGAAGCACATTTGGGGAACAGGAGTCATAGCAGTGAAGTGACAGCCCCTAGCAATGCTGCCCCACCGACACCACCCCTGCTGTTCAGGGCCCCATCTCAGAAGGACAAAAGGCCCCATCCTCCCAGCCTCTTGGACCTGTGCGCCTGGCTGGCATGAAGCCAAAGCCTGGTGCAATTCAGATGTCTGGAGACACAGCTTTCTCGGATGTAGCAATGGTAGGTTGTTCTTTCAGATCTTGATTTAAAATTAGGGACATTCGCACAATCTCTAGCTAAGTAGAACTGGGACTTGTGATTCCTACACTTTCGACGGTTCTGCTGAGTTCTGACAACGGTAACTGGAAAGATGATTATGTTAATACAGTGAGACCGTTGGTCGGACTGTCCCCACCGTCCCCGCCCCTGTCGTCACATCTTTGTCCTCCGCTCCACTCTTGCACTCAGATTTTCTCTTCCCTTTTCACTCCTGCCACATCTCCGACTGCCCCTGGCACTGCTTAGCCTTGCAGCAGTAGAAACCAGTGTCTCCGGGCTTTCTGGTCCAGGAAAGCAAATAACAGACCATCTTCCTGGAGCCCACTCTCAACTCCACCCCTTTCTGGAGCCCAAATTGTCTTGCAAGGGGCTCCCCACAGGAGAGGCAGGAGGTCACGCCAAAGACAGTGACCAGAGACGGAGGAAGACCATTGCTTTAAGAATTTTTCCTTGCCTGCGAGTGACCTCTCTGGCCTCAGCAAGGGCAGCCCAGGAGGCTTACACCAGGGGACAAACCAGCCCAGAGGCTGGCAGGAGGAGACCAGATCTGGCCACCACGCCCTGCTGGCCCCACTGTGGACACAGCAGCCAGTGAGCCTGCCAACCCCAAGTCAGACAGCTCATCTCCCAGGATGGTCCTTTCCCCACCTCTGTGAGCCCATTGCCTGCCTAAGTAGGGGTCAACACTGATGCTAAGGTTACCCCCCACATCATCTTAGAGTCACAAAAGTCCTTCCTTTGTTCTTTCATCAAATAATTGCCGAGCACCTGGGGCAGACGAAGTTTTGGAGCACGGCCGGGGATACACTTGGGACCAGGATGGCCCTCAGGCTGGCAGAGGAGAACTGGGCTAGAGGCCCCTCCTCCACAAAGGAGGCACAGAACACCCTCCTCATGCAAGGATGGTTATGGGGCCTGAGTAGGGAATTACATCTCTGAGCCTGTGGGCTGTTTCTTTTCAGAGCCCCTTGGCGTCTTCAGGAGTCTGCTGGGGCAGGGCATCCTGGCTTCAGGAGGAATTGCCACCTTGGGCTAACTTTTCCCCACTTTGGAGCAGTCAGGCCCGGCGGGTGGAGCTCTGCCTCTGGACCTAGGGGACATGCTCAAGGAAGACTGTCGGCCCGACTCCTTTCCTTGGCCGACAGCAGTTCATGAGGCCCAGCTCCCTGGGAGACCACCCTGGGTCTGGGAAGAAGCCTTGAACAGTAAGAGGGAGCATTTGCCTGGACCATCATTTAGTGGGTTTCCTTTGGAAGAATAGCTCAGGCAGCTGATTAAGGACCTGGGTGTCTGGGAACCTGGGTGAGGCTATTTCTCAGTTTTTCTACCTCAAGTAGCCTTACCTTTAGAATGGAAAAAAATGGGGATCATCAGAGGGATCTCAGGGAGGCCTGCATGGAGGAGGTGGCCCTTGAGCAGAGAATCATTAAACTATCTTACATCACTTTTTAATTATTTTACAAGAAGAAAAGAGCTGATGGGTAGAGTTTTATGTACTACGAAGTAAGGCTCTCTGGCTTGAAAATTTGGCTCTCTAGCATAAAAATAGTCATTTTTTCCACACTTCCCCTAATTGAATCCTGCAAGTTCTTTAACTAGCCCTCTTCCACAGACAGCATGTTCCCGGGGAAGGGAGAGCAGGCTTTCACAAGGTGAAACGGGAGCCCCACAGGGCCTGGGGATGGCGGAAGCAGAGGCATGGACCTGGGAAAGCAGGAGGCCTGTTTAAAGGCTGTTGATGGAACAGGTTTGCTAGAGCAGAGGGAAGGTGGAGGGGGTAGTCCCCACCCACGGAGCCTGGACCACAAAGGTCCTGAGATCACAGCAGGGGTCTCTATGGGCAGCATGTCTTGGGGGCACGCCCCCTCACTCCCACACTCGAGCACTAGCTGGCTTTGTCTCTGTTGCCTTCACTTTTGGCTGGAGGTTTGCGCATAGCATTGATGTCTCTCGTAGCTAGGAGCTCTGACCATCAATTACTCAGGTCTTTGAGGATTTTAAAGTAGGGCACTGATTCATTGTTATTTAATGACTGTGTTTCCTACCAGAAATGAACCCTTCAAACATAGGCTCTCCAGAGGACAAGCAGCTTGGACCATGCCTTAAAAGGCTCAGAGAAGCTTGGGAGCTCCCGGGCCAGGGACCAGCCAGGATGAGGAAGGCAGGCAAGCTGAACTTGAGGACTTTGACCCCCAGGCTCTGTCTGGGATTGGCAAGGGTTGGTCCCAAGCAGCTGACTTGGGGACTGTTGTTCAATCCCACATGCTAGTGGTATGACCTGCTTATCTCTGCATTTCAATCCACCACGTTAGTGTACTCCTGGCAGACTGACTCCTTAGGAACACCTCATCCAGCAGGTCGGTATTTGCTGCTCGCTTGCCCTGGGCCAGCAGTGATCAAAAGATGTGATGAGATGGCCAGAGGGCCTGCCCCTCTCCAAGCTCCCCACCCTCATTCCCACGCCTCAGTCACCTCCACCCCCTTTACTGCTGTCCAATTAAGTGGATTAAGATAACCCAGTTTCCTACTCACAGGTGATTCATTTGGTGTCCCTGAGCCCAAACAGATTCCCACTAAATCCCAATAATGGGACAAAAAGCTTCCAAGTATTTAATATTTATAAAACCCTGGCATAATGCTCTTTAGATGTAAATCCGCTCATGAAAGTGAGTACATCTATAAAGATATGTTTGCTCTCATCTGAGTGACATCAACATTCCTCGGTGGATTCTTGAATGCTGGAGGAAAGCTCTCTTTTCTGCTGAGTTCCTTTTTAGGAAGTTAGCTTTGATCTTAGAAATGATTTTAAGGTTCTTTTGTTTCCAGATTAAAAAGGCATCTGGCACGTGGACAATTTTTGCTAGTGCCTGACCTATCAGAGCAGTCCCCTGGAACTGACTTTCTACAGTTTTCTGGCCTCTTTGGAACTGGTTCAGAGTCAAGATCAAAGTCACTTGCAGTCGGCTAATGTGGGTTCCAAGTCAAGGGTAAGGAGGGAGAGATTCCAGCTCGAGGTCAAAAGGAAGGCATCTTGATGCTCAATGGGAGATAAAGAGATCCACTCAGGCTACGCTTGGAAAAACATTATTATAGCTGCTGTGTGTACCCACTGGAGAAATAGCACAGATGGAAATCGCCAAAATAAAGTAGTGTGGATAGCTGGGCAGTATCTTTAAACCGTGGCCACGGCTGTGGAGGTCAAGGTAGCCCTTTTGTAGCCATTGGGCCCCCTCCTTCATTGGCGCCACTCACGTCTGCCTGTTGTCAGCTGGGGAGACCACTCACCCAGCGAAGTCTCCCTCCAGGTGTCGGAACGTTGGACTCAATGATTCTTTCCCTCCAGTGAACATTTCTTGATAAGTGAAGGCACTGTTTCTGGCAAAAACCTAACGTTCCAAAACTTTCTTCCTTCCAGTTTTATTGAGGTATAATTGGCAGGCGGCACTGTGTAAGTTTAAGGTGTGCAGCATAATGATTTGACTTACATATATCATGAAATGATGACCACAGTAAGTTTCATGAGCATCCATCATCTCATATAGATACAAAATTAAAGAAATAGAATAAAAAATAGTTTTCCTTGTGACAAGAACTGTCAGGATTTACTCTGAACAACTTTCATATATAACACACGGCAGTGTTAATTATATTTATCATGTTTTACATTACGACCATAACTGAAGCTTGTACATTTTCACTGCCTTCATCCAATTCCCCCTCGCCACACCCCCCCACATCTGGTAACCACAAATTTGATCTCTTTTTCTATAAGTTTGTTACTTAAGTATAATCGACCTACAACACTATGTTAGTTCCTGTAATACAACATAATTTGATGTTTCTATACATTTCAACATGATCGCCATGGTAAGTCTAGTTACAATATGTCACCATACAAAGGTATTATATAGTTGTTGACTAGATTCTTCACAGCATACATAATCATACCCATGACTCATTTATTTTGCAACTAGAAATTTGTACCTCTCAATCTCCCTCAGCTATTTCAGCCCTCCTCCTACTCTCCTCCCTTCTGGCAACCACATATTTGTTCTCTGTATTTATAATTCTGTTTCTGTTTTGTTATGTTTGTTTTGATTTTAGATTATACATATAAGTGTTTGTCATTCTCTGTTTGACTTATTTCACTTACAATAATATCCTCTAGGTCCATCCATGCTGTCACAAAAGGCAAGATTTCAT